AATTGAAAAATAAAATCTAATAAGTACACTTTTAAAAGCTTAACTAGGAATTTTTTTTTTTTGAGACAGAGTCTCACTCTGTTGCCTGGGCTAGAGTGCCGTGGCGTCAGCCTAGCTCACAGCAACCTCACACTCCTGGGCTCAAGCGATCCTCCTGCCTCAGCCTCCTGAGTAGCTGGGATTACAGGCATGCGCCACCATGGCCGGCTAATTTTTTCTATATATTTTTAGTTGTCCAGCTAATTTCTTTCTATTTTTAGTAGAGATGGGGGTCTCGCTCTTGCTCAGGCTGGTCTTGAACTCCTGAGCTCAAACAATCCGCCCCCCTCGGCCTCCCAGAGAGCTAGGATTACAGGCATGAACCACCACGCCTGGCCGCTAGGAATTATTTTTTAAAGATTCAACTACACAAAACTTGCCGAATAATTTTTTTTTTAAGTTTGCAAATCTATATGATTTGCAAGGCAACTAGATACAAAAAAATACCCTGGGTTTGATATTTTATTCATCTGAAAATGATGCTTCCACAAGATATTTCTTTCATCATTAAAAGAATAAATCATTTGCATTTTAAAGATATGCTTGAATGCCGTGGGAAGCAGCCTCTTCCATTTATGTAATGTTTAATTGCATTTATTTGATCACAGCATTGAGTCGAGTTTCTTTTAAATAAGTTTGCCTTTTCATTATGCTTGCAAATACGGTTTGTAAATCTCAAGGCATCAAGGATACATTTTGTCAAGGATAAAATTATGCCGGACTGTGATTCCTATAAAAGGGAACTCCTGCCCTCCAGTGGCCACAGGGAGGAATTGCACATGGGCCGCTGTCAGAAAAACACGCTGTTGCTATTTAGGTGAATTGTACCAGATTTGCAAGCAAAGTCAAAAATGTGTAGATCTACGGTAATTTTTCTTTTAAAAATTTTAATATCTATGTATGTGTGTGTGTGTGTGTGTGTGTGTGTGTTAACCTGGACCCCTAATGCCACACAGCAATCCGTTCTTCTCCGTGGCAGCTGCCTCGAGCCTTTACCTCTCTCCCTAATGCAACACTCACTCTCAGCAGCCTTCTAGTAGCTGAAAATATAGAAACTACCCGATATGAACTTCTGCAACTTCCTTTTCCTCTTTGGCTCCTCAAAACTTTAATATACGTAAAAGCGCGGGCTTTGGAATCAGCAGGCCAGGGCTCTGCCACTTTCTGGCTGCGTCAACGTGAGCATTTTGCCCAAACTCTATGACCCTCAGTTTCCTCATCTAAAAAGTGAAATCAATAATGCCTATTCCAAAGGATTATTGGATGGACTTAATAAGACAACCTAAGACAACTCCTGTGCACAGTAGACACTAAGTGTCGTTGCCTTATGCCTCTAATCTTTCTGCTCTCCTTTCTTTAGGTGGCTTGGATCGTTTCCAAGGCAAACCTTACCCTGTTGAGTTCTATCCCAAGCTGTCCTGTCATGGCCCTAATTTTGTTGTTACTTAACCCCTTCCCCTCCCTCTGACATCCTTGTTCCCTTCCTCTCCACAGTGATTTTCACTCCTTTTATACAAACGTGCTCCAGTCTCACCAGCCGTAATAACCTCTCTCACTACCATCTCAGCCCTCTTGTTCCGTTCACCCCCAACTGTGCTGGGTGGGTAAATCCTTCACTACCATTATTTTTTAAATCCCCATCACTTCTTCTCCCCTCTGCAATCTGGCTTCCCCTGCCAACACACTACTTAATTTCAGTGGATTCATTCAGCAAATATTTACAAGCATTTGCCATGATACCATGTCCCAGGCACCGTGCTCAGCAGCTTATCTAACACTGTGCATTGACAAGATCCTCACTGGCCAGAGGTTGCCAAAGATCAATCGTGACTTCTTTCAGTTTCGCTCTGACTTGTCGAAACTTCCGCTTCGGAGGCTTCTTTGCCGCTGCTCCCCTGGCTCCTCTGCCGCTTTGATCTTCCCGTATTCACTTTACAGCACCCTCCTCATCGTGTGGGTAATTCCCCGGGCATCCATCTTCAGCTCGCTTCCCTCTCAGTCTTTTAATTTTGTTCTGTGAACTTCCTGTAATTATACGCTACATTTGGTGGATATGGGTGGGCATTTTTCTGGGAGAAGAGTTCATAGCTTAGCTTTTACCAGCTTTGCGAAAAGTCTATGACCCTTCCAAAACAAACAAACAAAAACCCTACCTGCTCCATCCCATGTTCAGTTAGCCATGTCCCTTCGCTGTAATGACGGCCACTGTCCCCCAGATGCTGCTGGCTCCTGGATCTCTAACTCTGGCCTCTTTCCCGTGCTCCAGTGGCCGTCAACTCCACCAAGGGCCCACCTGGAGGGTCCTTCTAGAATAACAGTTCCCATCAGGCAGGTGGCAGAACCTCAGCCTCTCCTTGCACCCCCGCTAAGAGGCCCTGTGTGGGCTGGGGTGCCAGGCAGGGGTGCGCGTATAACCCGAGTCCCTGGGGAGCAGCGGCTCTGCTCTGACCTCAGACTGTGCCATCCGGCACCTTCCCATCCTCCTCCTCTGGGGCTGGGAAAACCTTCTGCGCTGGTCCAGCTCTTCAACACGGCTGCAGAGCTGCCGGAGCCATTAGTGCAGAGTTTGCTTTCGTCGGAGCCCTCTCTGTCCAGAGTGTCCAAGCCCCATATCCACTTTTGATCAAATTCCACTATCTCTATCTGCAAAAAAGGATCTTTTATAGTTTTCCCTTACCCCTATAAAAGGTCCTAAAAAGTCTCTCCACCTCAAGTCTCTGTCATTCTCTTCTATCTTCCAAACACGTAGCCAATCATTTCGATTAAAAAGAAAAAAATCCTTCCATGCTTCGTGATGGCCTATGTAATGAAATCCAAACGCATCCTGACATTGAAAGCCCCTCCCCAGTCAGGCTTCATTCTCCCTTTTCAGGTCAGATCTGCAGGGATTTTTTTTTTTTTT